ATTGCGTTGATCTTTGACTGAAACTGTGAAACAAGTCAGTTTCTTCAAAGCCAAACATAACACTGCAGCCAACAATAAAGAATCCTGTCGGGTTTTTCTGCACAATGAATTTTTTGATGTCAGAAATTCTGGATACTTTTAATCACACTAAAAATGTGTTAGCAACGCAAATGTGTATGACCTAGGCCCATAAACAACCACAGGACTGTTTTTTTTCCAACTAATCTTATTTTGGCTTCTCTCACCTAAATTCCAGCACCAAGACTTCTTATTAACACATACTTTAAGGTTTTAAACAGCTTTTAACCAATTTTTTTTTCTTTTGCTTTCTAAATCTGAACAATTGTTCAAATCTGTTCACTGAATAAACTCCAAAGTATTCATATTTTATTAGTCACGTGGCAACTGGATTGCTACCCAGAAGATTTTAAGACAAAACACTTAACTGACACAGATCAGAATCTAAAATTCATCCCATTTAAAGACTAACAGCCTTAAGAGACATTATTTCATGGTCTTAACTCAAATAAACGTAATTACAAATACCATACTTTCTGTTCAGAAATTATCTTTAGTCATCCTTCCTGAACTCCTGATTCTCTGCATCAGCTCTAAGGTCCTACATAATTCTGCCCATCCTTACTTCACAGTTCTAATTAAAAAAAAAAAAAAAAAAAGCCTACATTCACTAAATCCTTTTCAATGTATCTTCCAGTGTAATTTTACAGTATATTTATAAATTTCTGCTGCTACTCATCAAAAATCACATTCATCAATGTCTACTTTTTAATTTTAGGTATGACTTTATGTGAAACAAATTTTTAACTCATACCAAGTAAACTAAAGTTAACATACTGCAGATGCCATAACCACTACAGAAAAGTAACAGCAGAAATAAACAGTTAATGATGAGAAACAGAGCCAGAAGCAATGGATAGACAATAGTTTAACTTCACTGATTGGTGCACACCCTCTAACCTCCAGTAAATTTATTTTGATTATAACTATATTGGTCAGTTCAAGTTTGTCTAGCTGCAGGTCCTTCCACCACTGAAGTCAACAGTGAATTCAGTCAGAACTTACAAGTATAAACCAATTTTTCTTTCCTGGAACAAATCTTAAGCATGCTGAAGTCCGTATCTTCAATATTTGACTTCACAAACTAAGTGTTTCATCAGCAAGTATCCAGAAAGTAATGCATTATTTCACTTAGCCATACCAGCACCTTACTATCCATTTTACATAAGAATTCATAACAATAACAAGCGTATTGTTTGACGTGCGGCAAAAACATATGGGCAACCAAGAGATATTTCCTCTGACCCTGATCAGATCAATTAATTTCTGTAACAAACACAAATGCCTTCAGAACAGTAAAACAAGACAACAGAAATCCTCTCAAATGCTAGAAAAAGCCAAAGAATATATGCTCTATGTGAACTAGGTTTAAAAAATGAACTGCATTGAAGTAATTCTCTATACTACTGTTAAATCTGTTTTCAGTAAGGTTCAGTAAGGTAAGCTGTTTTCAGTAAGGCAGTACTTGACAGTAAACCAATTTCATGAAACCATCATGCTTGCGAGAAAGAGATGGCATAGGCTACCTATACAGAGTGCTTACCATTACTAATACCCACTCCTTAAATTTCCCACTACCTTATATTCCCACACACAATGCAAGTAATACTTACTAAAAAAAGAAAATAGCTTAACTAATGAATATCAGTTAAAGTCCCAAATCTAAATATGAAGCCAAGCCAACCATTAACAGCAGGGGTAATGCAGATGTAAGTTTTATACCCTATCCCAATTTTCTGTACTTTTACTAATGCAAAACACATCAACTTAGAAAATGCATTCTAAAGTTCTTTAACATTTTTTATTATGAGGGATTACCTTCAGGATCCAAAGAGGTACATTATGAATACAAACTTCACATAATCTAAAACTTAAAAAGGAATCTGCTGCACCTCTGTCCTCCAGTCACATGACAAGATAACATGAAGACAACGTACATCACTCAAGGATTACCAACACAGTTGTGCGTTTAATTATTAGTCTGGGTCACCATTCAAAGCCACCCTCCTTTATTCCACATGCTGAACTAGAGATTCCTCAAACAAAAATTCTCAATTCACTGACTATATTGCTGATCACTTAAGAGAGTGAGCTGAAGAACTAAAACTAAGATACAAACTAAAAGTTCTTAATAAATCCAAGTCTAATTTACATTTACTCCTACATATTTCAAAGCTTTGTTGTGCTCTCACAGTCCAAGTCTAAGAATGAACCATTTCACTAGCTGTAATACAAGACCAGCTGCCATAACACTGTCTTTATCCACAAATCAGTCACTGAGGGTAGCAAAACTTTAGTAAATGTGATCCACCTATACGACTGCAGGAAACCTTTGATGGACTGAGGCAGCACTAACAGCATGGTGGAAGAAAGCTCATGTGGCAAGCTATCACAGAACAGTTTTGTCCAGCTTTTTTCCCCACATCTGCACATTCCAATGCTGTTCTAGGAATGACAGCTGTTCTCTGTCCAGAATGCTTCAGATACCTTCTTAGGATCAAGATTCGTTGAAAGCAAAGAGATCATTTGCTTATAATACCATGCATATATGTAAGGTTTATATATCCAATTGCAATTCTAAAATGCTTATATGTATACACAGCAACTTTTACACTAATTAAACATTAAAAATCTCCCAGTACCTACTATGATAAAAAAGAAACAAAAGCCAAATATTTTTTTAAATTCATTAGAGAATTAAAAGAACAGGTGCTACTTGAAAATTCATTTCATAAACTGTCATAACCAAGACATAGTGGGTGACTCAAGAACATGTGTCAAGATCCACCACAGCTGAATGGTCAAAGATGTGTGACACCATGCACAAGTATTTCAATCAATGAATGAGAACAGTTTTCCTTAGTCTGTAATACATTATCAATTGTCTTTATACACACCTTACTGATCATTAAAAAGTGTCAAGAGAAAAATCAAAGCAAAAAGAGAATTCAGCTTTGGCCAGGGCATGATCAGGGGACATCCAGCCAAACAAAATAAAGGTGATTGTTCTAAGCAATGTAGAGGTCATTACCTAAGACTTCTATTGCTCCCAGTCAACAGACTGGGATTAAATTCAGATGTAGCCATACCCATTCAGTACAGTGTCGTTTTTTATTTGCTTGTTTCTGGTGACAGGCATTTCCTTTTACATTCCCTGCCAAATGTCACTTGGCAGGATTTGACAATGTGTACAAGAGGGCAAAAACTGAGCAACCCCTCATGGTTATCAGTCACTCTGCACTGTATTTCTGCAGAAGGGCATTTCAAATGAAGGTTTAATTGGGCAGAGGGAAACAAAAGTACAGATTTAATCTCACCTCATCACTGACATTCCCTCTAGACCTAGAGCAGATAGATCTCTGCCATTCCATCATCAACATACATCTGGATCACTAATAAGGGGGCAGCTATTCCAGACTCGGTGCCAGATCTTTTCTATTAGACAGGTCATGTACGAATTCTCCTCAAGAGATCAGGTCAGTTGAGGACACAGGGAGTTTGGGGTTTTGTTTTTGTTTTTTTCTTTCATCATAGTATTTAGTAAAATAACCAGTTCTTCAAGAACGATTGTAACTTATATATATCCATGGATGCAGGGTTGGTGCAGTTAGATGATCAGTGACCAACTGTTGCAGATGACAAAGCTTACAGCAGGGCGTTGAACTCTGAGCTCTGGCTCTAAGACAGTCCACTTCAGAAACACTAAAGAGGCTGGATGGCAAAGCTAGAGCTGTGAGAAGGTATCAAAGCAAATGTCCTGTGTAGAAAAGAGAGCTTCTTCCTCTGTCTTTCACCTCTGCAAGATGACAGATGTCAGTTAAATGTTTTTCCATTTGTTTACAAGTACATGCAATTAGAAAGTCTACTTGCATTTCAATTTCATTTCACTGTCTGTCATCCTTTACCTCTGTCTTCAAGTCAATATATCATAATGGTGGCACAGACTTTAAGAGGAACTGACAGTAAAACAGCTTCTGCCTCAGAAAAGGCAAATGTTAAATGGTAGTAAAAATACTTTGTATCATCCTGTAAAGATAGTAAAAATACAAAAATCTATCTCAAGGTATAGGGAAGAGGTTATCATATCAGAAGGGAGTACATGAAAAGCCATAGCATCCAGTGGATGCTACAAACAGACATAGCAATGAATCATGAGACACCCATTACTAGCTGTTGCAACAGAATTCTGGAAGGGACACTTGTTTCGCTTCCTTCAAAACTAAGCAAAATGAACAAGAATAAAATTGGCATGGCCATAACATTTCACCAGGCAAAATTCTTAAATGTAGACAGGAATGAGCCTCAAGTGAAATGGCAGTTAATTTATTGCTGTCAGTTCAGGATACTTTTCAATGATGAAATCATTGCAAACTGTAACTCAGGACTTTGAAAGATAAATTCTCTCACATTGAAAAAATGAAACTGCTGCCCAACCTTGACTTATTCTGAAGTTAACCTAAATAATAATTTTAGAAGTTGTCTGAACAGGGTGTGTAAGAAACATTAGCTAAAAATACAATACTAACAATTTAGAGACTTGCTGGCAACTTCAGTCTTTTTTTTTTTTTTTTTTTAGAGGAGAAAGTACAGACAGTATACCAAGCACTTCAGAAAAAGTGTCAGTTTAATGTAATGCACTACTCCAGATACCTTTCTTTCAAAAGCAAACTGAGTGAGAAAAATGAGAAATCCTTGACCAGTTTTTCTTTCTCAGTAGCAAATACATCTTTGTCACTATTTCAGGTTCTAAATGAGGAGGTGATCTTCATCAGCTCCTCCATCATCTTCCAATATATTCAGATCTCATCTGAATCTTTGTTGTTGTTCTTGTTGCTTTTAATAAGACCTATACATGTAAGAGTCAACCTGCCTATACATCTAAAATTCTCACTTTCCCCACTTTCCCATGCAATCTAAGTCACCTCCCAATCAATCCATGCAGTGCGCAAGCTCTAAAATGATCTTCTAATTGGTTGCCAAAGTCTTCAATAACTGTAAAGATAGTCATCTTTAATGATCAAGCCTCTCATCAGCAATTTTACATTACTCTTTTTCTCTGCATCTTCATAATTGCATGCCATTTTACAATAATCAAAGACAACCTTAGTAAAAACCCTTATAAGTCTGCAGTCACTCCCACAAATGCACTTAGCCAATACAATCTGCTTCAGTATCTAAAACTGTATCTTTATTGGTAGTGTATTTGTTTCTCCTTGCCCACATTTCTTTTCCAGTGAGCAGTTATGTGGTGCTTAGCTGCCTACTGTGGTTAACCCCCAACACTAACTTACAATTATTTCTGTTGCAGCTGGACCTATTCAGAGCTTGAAAACATACAAGCAGAGGAGCACTGACATGCACAAAAATCAGACAAACAAAACGTTGAGACATGCACTGTAAAAAAACAAACCAAAAAAGAATAATGGCCAGCAACGGTTCAAGACATATGTTCTGTTTTGTTGTGCTTAATTTTATTTCACTTTTCCAGAAGGTGGAATCTCAGAAGTATGCTAGGTTCTTTCATGCTCAGACAAGTTCAGGGCTGCAAGCATTAGGGCAGAGCGAGACTGCATAGAAACCACTAAGAAGGATCCAAAAGAAATGCTCGGTATTTACCAAAAAAAAAAAAAAAAAAAAAAAAAAAATAGCGAAGGTTCTCCTCATAAACCCACTGGTTTAAGCACTAGTCATCCACGTTGCATCCAGCCTTTCTTCTTTCTCAAGCTTGTATGGCTTGAGCTAGATTGATTCCAGCTACTTCTGGAAGGGGATGGTGTGAGTATGAAGCACCTGAGCATAATAGAAAATGGGAGATTAACCAAAAGTTACCTCAAAACACTGGCAAAAGACTGACCAGCTGTATTAGGAGGTGTCTAACATGCTCATGGACTGATAAGAAAGAGCAGTTCTAGAAAATGAAGTACTCCATCCAGTCAACCTACAAAAATTGCAGAGTAAGTTTATCAACATACTTTTATCCCAACCTGGGTAAGCTGTTACAAGGAGTAAAATGATGTTCGCTCAGCCCGCATTTACCCTCTTCTCAGATAAAATTACTCACAGTGGAAATTATACTCACGACTGATCATACACTATTACTGTAAATTAATGTAAAAATCTAGTCTCACCCAACAGCTATTAAACAGCAACAACATGCTCTAATTCCTGGCATATGTCAGTTTTGAATACTGACTTACAGATAAAATACTTTTCTTCTAATATACAAGATCTTTGACATTTAATCTAAAATCCCCAAAAAACAGATCAAAAACATGTATCGTACTAGAAACAAATTAGGACTTTCTCCAACCACTGAGGCTGCAGAGTGCACAGGAATATGTTTAAAGCATCTCAGTTGGATTTGCAACAGCTGAGAGTTCCACTTGTTCATTCCAAATGTGTACTTCAATCCATCCCCATCGTGCACGACATCAAAGTGGAGCTATGTCCAGTGACAGCAGCTGCTACCATCCTTTGCTCCTCCCAACTCAGTTGATAAGGACTGAACCTTGCAATAAATGGATTTTTCATTTGTGGGTAGAGGCAGCATGACTGCACCAAGTATATGTCTGTCATCATCATCTGATATCGTTATTAAAAATTAATATTAACTTGTATCTCTCCAATGCATGTTTTCAATTTTCAGGTGCAGAATTCCTCTCACTTCATTCTACGAATGTACTTAAGGCTCAAGACAAAAGTCATAAGACACAAAAGACAGGGCAGCTTTTGCATCTCTGCAAACTGAAGTTTGACATCTTATCTAGAAGGTGTGTCAAATCAACATCTTCTGTTATCAAAGGTGGGAAACAAATGCAACCAGCAAACTGCTCAGGTCCATATACAGTTATGAAAAATTTGTACTATGAAAGGGGCCACAAACAGCTGGCAACTAGCTAGAAATGGAGAAGGTATATCCAGCTCTATAATTACGCATTTTGTCTATCCCTTAAACCTCTTTCCAATTCCCTGACTTGCAGTTGAGCCTCAACTGCCATCTCGCACCCGAATCAAGCAATCTTCAAATCATGACTCATGAGTAGTAGAATAATTAAAAGTTGGGACCACTGCACAATCCAAAAACCCAAATAGTTTTCTACTAGGTGACTACACCCTGACTACAAAGGGGAACTTCGTAAAAAAGGGACACTAAAGTAAATGTAAAATATTCATACTGCCTTACACCTAGCCAGAGTAGGGAAAAAGTTAATTCAGCTGGTTGGGTTTTTCAGAAATGCTATATAGGAACAAATTTTTAATTTCAAAGTAGAAATAGTTGCCCAGAATGAACTTGTTTAAAGTAATACATGAAGTCCCAACTTCATCAAATTTCAGAGTATTTCATGCTGACATAAGTACTTCCCCAGAAAACTGTGAAATAAATTCATGAACAAAAAAAAGTTAAGTTTACCCGCATTCATAAAGCGTTCTCGTTTCTTCTGACTTGATGACTTCTTTGAAAAGTGCATTTGGAAAACAAAATAAAATCCAGATCCTAACTGTAACACACACCCTCCAGCAATCTAAAATGCTAACTTTTTTATTCCTTTTTTTTCAGTGTTCAAGACACTGACTTTTGACTAAATGATTTAAATGAACAATGAACATATACCACTGATGCGTTCAGAACAAACGTTTCCACTGACTGGGACACGAGTTTCCTCTGACTACAGGAAGCCAGAAACTTCCTGCTTATTGTACTTTCCTCTACTTGCTCTCATCCACTCTTCTGTCATCCAGCCACAAAAATTAAATATACAGGAGTCCAGATTTCTGCACACTTCAAAAGAAAATGTTTTCAGTGTTATCTGTTACATATTTTCATGAAGCAGTTAAACTTCCAGCGCACAACAAGCTTAGTTTTGTTTTATAAATGTGAATCTACAATGAAAACCAAAGGAGGTGAAATCTTTAGCCTGTTAGCCTTGACTACTTAATACATTGTACATAAAGATTATGGGGTATAACAAACTTTAAAAGGTATCATCACAAGCAGCACCAGATTCAGTATTCAGTCTACGAAAAAAAACACACAAACACATATATAAAAGAATTGCCCAGTTATGTATTTGAATTTATTAACTTCCCCCAAACTGTGTATATTTATTAGCACCATAGGCATCTGTGTAAATGAAGTAAATTAAAAATGAGTCAGGCCTAAAGGAGGAAACACTATGCCATTGACTCATGAATAACTGAAAGATAAGCAAGGCTCCCACATATGTTTTTAAATATGTGGATCCAATAGAATTAACAGGCTGTATATGCTGCAGGTGTTCAAGCCACCATTCTGAAAGTACAGATAAGTTTTATAGGAAGCAGGACATGCAAAATAAGCATGAGTATCAACTGAGAGCCACTCTTCTCACTAAAAAAATTAATAACCTCATTATCTTCCCCAGCACAATTATGAAATAACCTAGCAGATTTACAGTAAGAGAAGTATACTAAAAAATTACCTATATTTGTCTCATAAGCATTAGTATTATTCTCCTTATATCTACTCTTTCACTCTGCTTCTAAAATTTCTTTTACATAGTCTACTATTTAACATGTCTAAATTACTTTTCATTTCTCCCATTTAACAAGCTCATTTAAATTGTGTGATCTATTAAATATTTTACAGCGTATTCTTGTACTAGCTGTGATGGGACATTATAAAATCTGGGTTCTAACTGGAGCTTCCCCTTTGAATTGTTGTTTGGCCTTAAATAAATCACTTCTCTCTCTCTGAAAATCATTAATGCTACTTTCATTTATAGATGAAAGGCTCTTCAAAACTACTAAATGTTAATCATTAATACTACAGATGAAGTTCAGTTAAGAAGGTACAAGAAATCAAAATACCACCTTGACACTGGATCCTCTTACTCAGATTTACAGTGTAGCAAGCATGCTGATATGAGAATGATTACAAAATAAACATGAAACATACCATTACAGGCTTAAAAGTCTCTACTTTCAACAGAGGTTAAACTTACATCTGAAAGGTCAGTGGGAACACTGACAAATCATTTAAATGCAGAGATGACAGAAAAATTAATCAGGGTTTAAGAAAATAATATTGATTTTGAAAGAGAATCTGTTGGGGAAGATCAGAAAAGAAATCAACAGTTTTCAACTCTGCAACATGTCAAGCTTCAATCAGTAAAATATAGGCAGATCTTATCCAGATAGAGATGTTGCCTGGCTGTGAACAATGACAGGAGGAAAAAAACAGGTTGGAAGAAAGGGTGTGTAAATCTATATCCTACAGGATGCAGGAATCACTGGTCACACTGTTAATGGAAAATTTCAGGACCCAGAAAACAATCATATTCATCAACACCATGTCAGATTAGTGATGTTAAAAAAATATAAGTAAATGGACAGCATGCTGACAAATCGAATTTGTTGTTGACACAGCTAAAGCACAGCAGTTAAGAACTAATCATCAGCGTCCTGAGTAACCACTGTGCTTTAAGCTACTCTTAACAATTCAGAAGAGAGTGCTGAGCATGATGGGGGAATGTAGATTATAAATACAACATTGTAAAATTTGTAAAAATATTACATATAGCCATGGATAATGAAAATAACCATCTATATAAAATTGTGTATCAACAAGAAAAAAATAGGCTGAAGAACACTAGGGATCAGCACCATAAACTCATAAACTGACAAAAATTTGAGGAGCTCCACAATATGATGATTATTCCACAATTGTAAACTTCCTTTAAAACACCTGCTGCTGAACACTGTAAGTGACAAAACAATGGCCCAGATGACAATTCATCTGGTGCTAGGTAAAATTCTTATGCTAACATGCCAAAAATTCACTTCTACAGGTCTAGAAATTTTTTTTTTAAACTTTCAACAAGTTCCACACCTTCTCGAAATTCAAGTCTATTATCAAGACACATCACACAGCTATACTTTTTCCCACGAGGAAAAAGAAAAGGTCAAAAGTACATTTGTGTAAAAACTAGAGATTAAAACACCACTTATTATCAAGCAGGCACAATCCAGGTTTCAAGAAACGTCGTTCAGAAATTCATTATCTGATAGATCAGAACCAAAGGATACTGACTATATGTGGTTCAAAGGGTTAAGTAAGACACCTCACTCAGAAGGTGGTGACAGCATAGGTCTGTTACAGACCACCAGCTCAAACTAGAGAACACTGGAATTTTTCTTGTAAGCCTGTATTTGTAATGTGCTGAAAGAAAATGGCAAACTGAAATCTTTGATAATGAAATCTAATATCTCAGGATATTAGCAGCCAACAGTAAATATAACAGGATTTAAAAATTATTAGCAAGTTTCCTAACAGCATTCACCATAACCAGTGATCACATACCCCACTGTAATGGCTAAAATTATTAAATCACTGGACTAGAACTTGGGCATAGTCTAAGAATTACCGATCATGATCAGATTACCTAGCCAGATAGATATTACTGACACCTATGTAAACATATGATGCATATACACACTTATATTCCCAAATCTTCAAAATTTCTGAAGCTGAAAAGGATGATGAACCAAACTGATGGGGAAAAAAAATCCTAGACAGAAAAACATGAAAATGGAAATTTTCCTTAAGAGGGCTTTTATTTATGGTCAGGCAATTCTACAGCTAACAAAGAGGACAAGTTTGCCTACAGCTCATCCTAGAAGTTCAAAACCTGATGTTTTTGAGAACAAGATGAAACGTAAGGGGGGGGGGGAAGCAGGACCAACACTGCAGAAAAGGAGAGGCTGCATCACCATCACCATAAATTAAGAGTTACAGAGTGTAGAAACTGAGACACTTAAAACATCCACGTATGATGTAGTCAAGAGTATTAGCAATAAACACCACCTCAACAACAGCAGAAGGCCATGACTAGACAGAGGTGGCACAAGTGTTAAAAATCGTAAGGAAAGATCAAAAATAGTCAATAAATACTTTCATTCTATAGTTGGAAAGATTCAAAATGGTATAATTGTATCACATTATATTGATTTTCTTTCCAACTCATTTGTTAAACAGATGTTCCAGATCAGATGTTAAAAAACATTGTGAGACAAACATTTTAAATCAGCATACTTGTTAAACTTATCCAAGAGTCCTAGGGTAGTCAGCCCAGCAAATCTACGATCTGTTGATGCTCTTTTAAAACTATGTATTTTAAAATCTGTATCTGTCTTTAAATGCTAGGGACTGCCACCATGCAGAGGAGTGAAAACACAGTGTCAAAGGGACAAATCAAGTTTTAAGGCAGTCTGATATGATAGAGAATTCAGACGTGATAACAAGAACCAGTGAAAGACAGATGCATTCAAATGTATTCAAACAATAATTGCATGCCTTATTTTTAAATAGTGGAAAAGATGAATCACTGAAACAAGTCATCCAGAGAAGTAAATGGTAGATTCTCAGTATCTTGATACACTTGGAAAAAAAAAAAAAAAAAGCAGCTTAGCCAACTAGAAGTTCAGAAAACAAACCCATTGAGACAAAAACTGATGCCGTAATACATTTAAGGTGAAATGTTCATGTATTAAGATAGATTTGATCCCCACTCTAATGCACTACTACGTGATGCAGTACTAAATGCAAGTCAACTTAAGCAAGCACATGAACTTTTCACATCCACACAACTAGATTAATTAGTATTGTGGTAATAATGTTCTTTAATAAACCTAAAATAACGATTTGTCAGCCCATTAACAGTACAAAAAGCCCGTCAAATTAAACAGTACAGACGGAAAATGTTGGGGTTTTTTTTAAACAGAACACAGGATACCATGATACTGTCTTTTTTCTGCTACATTCAGTTCAACATCAATGGCACGTGATTCTTCCTGTTCTCTTCAAATGATTTCTAACCAGACTTCAGGTCACATTATGGCTCGGTGCTTTTGGGAAATCTACATCTAATCATTAACAGAGGCATAATACCTATTTCTATTCTGTTTTATGATTCATCAACCTTTATCCAGAATATGCTAAATGTTCAATGTTCATCTCCAAGGTCTGGACACAGTTTGACTAACTGCTCCAGTTTGGCTCTTGCTTCTTATTTCAACTCTAAGATTATAAATATGGTCAACCATTTCTCCTCAAAGACTGTCACACACATATTCCCATAAGATTCAGAGTAATCATGCTTTTTTCTATTTAACATCAATAAAAAGCATATGAATTCTCAGATTATAATGTTATCCAATATGACAGTGACCTCAAACTGCATCATTTTCAATTCATTTTTTTGAAAGTATTTGATCACTGAAGCTGCAAAATCAGAAAAAAAAACCAAAAAACAACCAACATTTAGATAACGGATAAAAACATTCTTAAGTAAAACACAGCCCACAGTAGCAACCTTCCTAAAAACCTGAAATGCTATGTCCCTTCTTTTGGAGGTCTGAAAGAAAGAGTTTAAGCCTCGCTAACACGACAAGCAAACACAGGCAAGCAATTCCTTCTATCATGTTTAACAATCTTCTTCATGTGAGAGCACAACTCAGCCAAAGATCTGTGTTTTTACAGACTACAGACTGAACTGCTTTGGGCACTTTTCTGGGCTAGAAGAAAAAAGCACAGAAAACCTATAGCTGACTTCTAGAGAGCAGTGTAGAGTCTAAGTCAAACAGTTTAGATAACATACCACATTTGCACTCTGCAGACATCACTGGCTCCTGATCCAAAATGCTCTTACACGTGCTAATCAACAAAGCCTCAAATGGACTAGGAACTGATTATCTTAGAAACTGTCTATCCTCCACAATTCTCAGCAACAGCTGTTGTCAATTACAGCAGCATACCTAACAGTTTAAGATAAACTGCTAAGGATGGAGCACAAAGTAAACTTTCTAAGACTTTGTCAACAGAATCCCTTTAAGGGCAAAGTGTAAAACAGTTCTTTGCGTAGCCCTTCCTCAGTGACAAATGAAGTTATAATAGCAACAACAACCCAGAGACAGCAAAGATGATCTCAACATTAGTGTAAATCATACGCAGGCAGAGAACATATAAGCCATTTCCACCAAATCACATTTTACTTGCACATTAACACAAAGTACCAAAGTCCAAAAGATGCAAGTGCAAACAAAAGAGAAAAGAATAACGCCTGAGTAAAGCCAACACTCTAATGCAAGGAAGGAAAAATGTGAGGAACATTTTCACTTACATTTCTTAAAGGTAAGTGCCACTCTTGCAGGTGGCACAGTATTTTAAGAAAAGCTCTGAACCCTTCATATGTGACAAGTGAGCTTTGCTAATATTAAAGCAGAAACTGAAAGACTAGATGTAAAAAAAAAAAAAAAATCAACTTTGTGGCTTTTCTCAGATTTCTGAGAGGTTGAAATGAAGTGAAACGTCTAAGAATCTAATCAGTTTAATTAATCGTTGAACAAAGCTACCAGTACAAGCCTTATTTAGTCACCTTCCCACCTACAAAGCTGAAGAACACTCTTGTCTTCATCTCACTAACAAAAGGATGCCATCAGTATATTTTGAAACATTCAGTTTTCATAGCTTACCATACTTGTAGTATCTAAATTATGGAGCCACCATAAAATCTAGAGGGGAAAAAAATTCCCAGTATGCATTTATATATAAAAATAGTAATTGCTCATGGTCTTACTTTGTTATGAACTGAAGTTTACTGTGTAGGTTCACAGCTCATAAAGGGGTAAGCTCCTGTGGTTGGCTCAGCAACAGTTACCAACTTCAAGTAAGAAAAGATACCAAAAGTTTTAAAACCTCAGCAATTTCTTTCAAGTATGGTGTGTCTAACCCTGTGTTTACCTGACAGTCTGAATGTATTACAACATTAATTGTAACAACTCCAGTAATCGCTACTATTGTATATATATGTATGACTTCTTGGATGTCTATACATGGGCCATGTGTATCAATAAAAAAGAACTCTGACAACTGGTAATTCATAATTGTGTTAACCCAGACAATTATTACATTTACCAGAAAAAGGACTGGTTTCAAAAATAGAAATTATTATCATATACAAACAATGTATATTTCTTATTGCCCAGTTTTAGATCTTATGATACTTCAACCTGCAAGTTACAAATGTAACAGAGGATGGTGATTCAGAGAGAGGTAGGATCTAGGACTAATTTCACTGTCTGTTTCACAACCATCAAATATTTTCAATACCAACAATCAGCCCACATTTACTTGGAAAACATTTCTTAAGTCTTAGTTTGCATGGAGGATGTATTAACAGTAAATAGCTGAATTAGTGTGTGGCAAGTAATAGAACTGACAGATAACTTTAATGAAGTTCCATTGGTCCGAAAAGAAATACTTATGTGGTGCTTTTTAACCAAGTTTCAGAGGGCTTTGTAAGGGAAGTTAAGGAGGATTACTGAGAATAAAGCAGTGGATGGATGCTGTGGAGATGAGTGGCAGAACTAGAAGAGTATTCTCGTCTCCCAGGTACTATTCCAGTACATATTGGAACATGATTCTTTCACATTCACACGTACAAACCGAAAAGCAATGTTATGCCAATATGACAGAACAACTATTTCTTAAGAGCAGACCATAAAGCCTCCAAGATGCATAATACCACAGGACACGTAGCTAAACTGAACTACTACTGATGGGTATGGTACATTAAGAGTATAAAACGCTCAACTGGCTAAAATGTACTAAGTGCAGCCCTTGCATTGAAATCCAGACTTATACAGCACTTGAGCTACTGTATCCTAAGGAAAAACAAGTGTGACAGTTAAACATCTACCGCTGATGGCAATAAACTGGACAGGTAGCACAGACTGAGTCAGATAGGTGAGAACAGGGAGGAAGAGAGGCTCTGGGGCAGGAAAAGTGGAGGGAAACCAAGCTGCTACTAAAAACTCTTTTTCTAGGCCTGAAGGGGAAAAAAAACAAAAAATCATTAAGACCTTAACTTCCCTCTTCAGCCACCAGAACCACCACCACCACCAATTAAAAAAAAAAAAAAAAAAAAAAAAAAAAAAAA